AACCTTTGCTGGCAGATGCTGATTTACAAGTGTCTTAGTCAGGTTGTAGAAGGCATGAGTTTTCTCTTCCACTGAAACTGCTTCGTAAACAGGGGACCAATCTGTTTTGGCAAGTGATAGCCCAAGGTTCAGTTTTCCTACAACCGTAGCTACCCTTCGAGTGACTTTGGCTGTTTTGAACCTCTGTGGCTGTTGGCTGCCGGGCGATAGAAGGACACTTGAGTGGTCACTCGTTCCTATCGGTGCCAGGGTGCGTGGTGTGTCGTAGTACTTGGCCAAGTTGGTAAAGATCAGGTCTAACGTGGCCGAGCCCCGTGTTCCCTGAGTTACTACTTGTTTCAGTTGGGGATGAACCGTGACTAACCTATGGAAGGGCAATTTGTTAAAATCGCCACATAACAGAAGACCAGCATGAGGTTGTTTGCGGTACAGAGTGTCGGAGGAGATATTATGTACCCTGGTGATATTATGGACACAGATGCTAATACTGTAATGTCTATTCACGATTTTTTGTTTATATGGTCACAGTTTATCATAACTGTGAACAAATATTCTATATCGTGCAAATGACACATTATAGATAATATTTCAATTATAGAGTACATTGAAATAGAACATGTTATTCAATTTCGGTTGCCCGCCAGTCTCCACCCATGCAGGGAAAAAGGGGGTCTTTTACACTTGGCAACAAACACGACACGTACAATCAAGGACATTATATAGAGCAAGGCCACGGTCTGTGTAACATCCTTGTATATAGAGACATTGATGGATTTTCCCAAAGAAATTCTACATATAATGTCCTTGGCACAGCCAAGGAAATGATAGGGAAACTTACAATGGGTTCTTTCAGGCTATCATACTATCCATTCTGTACACGTTTCGCTGTTACTGTGAGCATTTGGCAAGGTTGGCAGAACTTTTGTATCTCAAAAGGGGACCCCCAAGTGCGAACTGTTGAATGATTTAAAGATTAATAATGTGGAGTCTGCGTAACTTGACGATGTTGATAAAGATAAACAAATTCAAGTCCAACCACCCACTGAGCCTGGTATCGCTGCCAATCTGTACAGCCCCTGCAGTTGACAAGCTCACAGTCCTACGAGCAAGTCGAGCTTTTCAAAATGGCTCAGATTGGGCTATTTTTCACCCTTGTTGTCTGTAGCTTGCTGCACAACGGCGTATCATCAGCGGTGGAAGAGAAAAATGAAGAGGGATTCTGTTCCCGACAGCTCAACAACAACCAGAACATCACGGTTGTGGCAGCGCCCGGGCCCGTTGGACCAAAAGGGGACATGGGGCCGAAAGGTATGAAAATGACAACTACAGCAACCATGGCCTGGTATCCTTACCATGCATGGGAACCTCCCCTGTATCTGTAAGGCAAGGAGTGTTCCATCGATTTACCAGTTTGTACGTTCGCAGGTCCCGCCGGTACACCAGGGGAGGCAGGTGTGAGAGGCGCGCCAGGCAAGCTGGGCCCGGTCGGACCAAGGGGGGAGCGGGGAGACAAGGGTGAACGGGGACCGGCAGGTGAGAAGGGAGCACCTGGCACCAGCCCACCTGCCCCACACCTAGTGGCGTTTT